GTAACTCTCCTTGAAATTGTCTCTCTCTTTCTTGAAACTGTTGCAGCTCTCCTTGAAGTTGTCTCTCATTTTCTTGAAATTGTCTTTTCCTTTCTTGAAGTTCCCTCTGGAATTGTCCCTCTCTTTTTTGAAACTCTCTTTGTACTTCTTGAAGCTCTCTTTCTTTTTCCCTTTGAAGTCGTCTCTTCATTTCTTGATATTGTTGGTCTCTTTTTTGAAGTTGTCTCTCCATTTCTCTCTCTCTTTCCCTGGCCTGTTGATCTCTCTCTTCCATTTGAAAGTGTAATTGTTGAATCTCTTGCTGGTGTCTCTCTTCCATTATTCTTTCTCTTTCTCCTTTCTGGCTGATCTCTTGTTCAACTGGTCTTCTTCTCTTTCCCATTTCTTCTTGATACTCTCTCAGTGAGTATGTCCTCACAGAAATATCACCTCCTGCAGTGTATCCTTTATATAATAAGAAAAATAAACCATTTAATATTATATAGTTTTACAAGTGTGTGTGTGTGTGTATTACATGTACATGTATATGAGTACATGTATATTAAATTAACAGTATAAGTAATTAAAATATTGCTGTACAGTAATTATTATTATACTCACTGATATTAAGGAATCTTGTATCACTGAAGAATTTTGCACCACTAAACATTGTCCCACACCATTTTCCTCCAAACTCTATTATCCAAGTATTGGTTGTATCTTCATTCCAAACTGATAGAGAATGATACTTTCTGTTTTTGACTGATTCAGGAACATCAACCTAATATAACAATAATAGTAATAATGATGATGATGATGATTTATAAAATGAAACACAGTTATACAATCAATACTATATAATACGAAATAATGTACATGCATGTAATGTACTGTACATGTATGTATGTGACTATGAGTACATGTTATATGACATATATACATGTATAATGTAAGTATGTACATATTATCATAATGTGTTCTACCTTCTTCCAATTAGTTTTGTTAATATCAAATGTCTCACATTCCCTGTCACCAATAGCCAATAGTTTTAGTCCTGAAGGACTATTCAGTAATACACTACGATTAGGATGCGCAAACCATGTATCATCAACTATATCATTTCCATTAAATATCCTTACACAAACCTAAATGTACAATGAGACAAATTTCAATTAATTAAACAAAATTAATAAATATTGTATCAATTATTAATTATTATATACATGTACATACCACTGATCCTTTAGTAAAGGTAAGATGATAAAGAGAATTATTTGATACATCATAATCATCATCATCTTGAAGTAAAATAGCACTGGTGCCATCTACTGACATCAAATTAAAGTCATGAATTCCAGTAATGTCATCTCCAGTAACTTTAGGTAAGATCCACTGACCTACAGTAATTAATTAATTGAATCAATTAATTAAAACTATTAATTTACCCGTAGCAATTCTAAAATAATGAATATTAATAGAATATGGTTCAATTATTACAAGGTAATCTTCTACCTCAATCTTTACAGCAATCATACCACAGAACTCCTTCTTCTTAGGACCATCCTTAGGATTAGTAGGTACAAATTTCCTCCATTTGAGAGTATCAACATTTAAACTGTACAGATCATTATCATCATAGCGACGATGACTACAACGTCCTCCATAATAGAATATCTTATTCACAATAGCAGCAGCTGCATATCTCATGATACCCAGTGGAGGATCACCAGTGGTAGGTTTCTGCTCCCACCTACCAGTCGAAAGGTGAATTATCTCCACAAAAGATGAATCTTTTCTCTCTTTCTCAACATTGTGTACTTTAGGATGGTCACCTTTATCCCCACCCCACATATAAAGACAGTCTCCTACTATTACTGTAGAATGGCAATTTCTCTCAGCAGGTTCATAGTCTATATAATAGCACAAACTATCAGTCAAACAATATTTATCATAAATTATAACTTATTAACCTTTTACAGTGGGGCCAGGGACTGCTTTTACTGGCTTCAGAGCTGCCATTGTAGGAGGGGGAGGAGCTTAGTTAGAAGTAGACACGCCCACTAATCCCTAGTGATGGGCGGTACCAGATTTTGCCATTTCGGTTCGATACCGAGTACTTCACCTGAGGGTATTGATGGTACCGAGTACGGTTCCGATTACCTGTAGCATCTAGCATGGAATAGCCCACACGTAGCCATTTTTAATTAATTGCTCAATTTTATGAATAATAATTAGCTGATTATTAATGATTATTACTAGTTATAATAGTTAATTAAAGCTTATTGGGTGTGGCTTCCGGAACCGAAACTTCGGTCGATATTACTTCAGGATTCGGTACCAGCAAATCAAGCACCAGAACCGTGGAACCGGATACTTTGGAACCGATACCGCCCATCACTACTAATCCCCACCCCCAAAACTAGTCTCGTGGGGCCAGACTCAATTTTTAGAATAGAGTCTGCTACCCCAAAACAACAGTAATAAAAACTACAAAAATTAATTGTAAAAAAATTA